ATATTCTTCTATATATATATTTATATTCTTCTATATTAGGTGCTGTTGGATGTTGAAACATGTTTTTCGTAGTTAGGTTCCGTGCTTCAAGTGTCCAAGTTGATAATCATTCTAAATAAATTTGATAGCATATGTAATGCAGTGAATGAAAACTTTCACTAGGGACAAACTCATAAAAGTTTGTGTTTTCTGGCCATAAACGCCTAGGTTTAAAGCTTTAACCGGTTCCTAGTTGAACAGATGTCCACCTAGGCGAACGTAAGACACATAACCCCGTTATACCGTAAGTTCTCAATACGGAGAACACAAACTTTTGTAAATAATAATGAAAATCTAGCAAAAGTTAAGTTGCAAATTTTCTTATTTTGCAACAACAAACAACTACCCATAGGTGTATTGTTCAACTTTCGCTTCATTTAACTCGATTTAATTTTACACAGTATACGAGTTTCTTCTAAATTAAGCTGCTTAACTTCAAAGTAACTCACGGATCAGTAGTTTCAGGGAAGCAAAAACTTAACTATGTCTATGCAATGCATTTGAGTGATAAAACTGAGCTAACCCTTAAGCCCCTATAACATACCATGTCTCTACATGAATAAGTGATACACTTTTAACAATATTTCGTAATTAGGTTAACCTATGAAGCAACTCTCAAAAACTAATGAGTATAAAACTTCTAGGCTCTCTTACATCTTCACTCTTGGGTTCATTTTTCTGCTATGTCTTTGTCCATGTATCCCCTATCTCTCTTCTTCTTCAACTCTTGTCACACGATAATTAAATTCCAACCGCAATCGCCTATTTCTTACAGGGTTCCAGAGGCCGTACCAGAGCCAATGTGCGTCGCCCCTCACTAGAACTAGTTGACAGTGAAACCTTTAACACTCACTCGGCTTCACAACCCGCTGCTGCCCAATCGCCTACTTTTCCTGCCCAGTTGCCCGGTGGACCGGTACGTTTTTTGGGCGCCACTCCGAACGAATTCTACGACCTCCCAGTAAATTAGTTTTTGAGAGAATACGAATTACCCTCTGTTAGCACTCGAGCAAGCACACTGGGCAACTAACTTTTAAATGCCATACAAATTGAACTTAAACATCCACCGCAATCAAGGCACTAACTTGGTGGGCTTTTACATAAATACTCACTTAAACCAACGTGTAGAATAAATGCATTATCAGTTCCTCAGAACATCCAGATGGACTTATACGAATCATGGTACCAGATTGGTCCAGGGTCACTCATTATATTTTGACCACCCATCTGGTTCAATTTATAGTAGTAGTAAAAAAGTTCAGGGCTGCTATTGAAATCGGATGGCACAAGATTGACGAAAAATGGTTGTAATTTTCAAAATAAAATTTTCATAAATAAAATTCTGCCAAAATTTGCAAAACTCGGGACGTTCAGTCTGAAATGTAGTTTAAGATATTTAAGTGTGCGTTTCTAAAAACGCACAATATCAAAAAGCACCTACACTTTCCTTGGACCTCGGCGGGAAACCTATATTGAATACATACTTGATCCGTCTACCGTCTAATTATATTTCCAAATGTATTTCGCGTTTTCTTTGCGTAGAATTATAACATGTATTATTTGGCTTTAATTTTTCACTCTTCCTATAGGTATCTCACATTAACATGTCATAAGTATTCCTGTTGGCTTGTATTGTGCATTCGCAGCTATCAAACTCAACTCGCGCATTTTCTGCCTGTTATTGCACATATATGCACATATGCACATCTTATATTTAGAGTGTTTGGGCTTTTAATGCTGCCTCCTGCTGCTTTAAAAAATTAAGCACAAATATATTTTCATCAGAACAAAAAATCGAGCATCATATTCTTTTTGGCTAAATGTCGCTTCTTAGAAAGCATAACACTAGTAGCAAACTGATGATTTTGCAGAAACAGCAAATTATGTCAAGCAATAATAATAAAACTGATACGGTTGGGAACAATTTAAAAATATTCTTCTAGTTTTTTGAAAATATTCATGTTACTTATAGTAAAAAAAATCTGTAAAATAGAAGACTAACAATAATTTAGAAGCAAATTGCGATATTTCTTACAAATCTTTCGGGCGGGCAAACTATAATCAATGAACATGTGGCCAATCCAATTTTTATTACCAAGCTAAAATATTTCGAAAATTTGTACTATGACATGAACGCTAATAAAACGGATATCTATCACCTCATCATATTCTCTCAACTCTACTTCCAGCACCCACCCACCTTATTAAGAATGAGCAATTTATCAAGCTTTTTGCCTAAACCACAGCATAATTAGATCACTTTCTGCAAAAATGTTTCATAATTCTATTGCCATTTCATTCGGTAGCAGGTAATAGAATAGAAATACATTTTCTGCAAACAATCGTGCCTACATCCACTTATAATTAAAATACGTATCTATATGTGTTTAGGACGAACAGGCTGATAAAGCAGAAAGTACCAAACAACCATCAGCTTCAGTTTCTGAAAATGATGACGAAGCAGCTAGTCAAGATGAGTCCGAAACAACCACTCCCGTGACCGGAATGAAAAAGGTTAGTTTCCATTAAAGCTGAATTATTTAATGTTATTTTCCCACGAATTTTACTAATTATAGTCAATTTTTTCAGGTGGCATTGGATTTGTACGCGATCTCTCAAGGGACCCAGAAACTTTTTGGTGAAGAAGGTTCCGAGTTGAGCACAGAAGAAGATAAAGATTATGGTAATTATCTGTTTGTTGTATGTGTTGGCTAATAATTATCGCAACTACTATTCAGTTGAAAACGTTTTAAACTTTTGGTTTCACCTAGCTACCACTCAAGACTCATCATCTACTGAAGAAATCGAAACAACAACCCCGACAACTACAACTACTACAACAACTACAACTACTCCAGCACCTACAACCACTAGAACGACAACCACCACCACAACCACGACAACGGAAGCTCCAACTAAAGGTATAAAAAAGTCTGCTTATTACATATAGGTATTAATAACAGAGAAACCGGAATTTAAAATTTAAATTCCGGTATTGTTGCGGCTTAGAAAATATTTTCCAATGCGGTTTAGTACCGGTTCCGGTTTTTTTTTGGGTTCCAAAATCTATATAATACAACGAACGAGGGCAGAGATAGAGGCTTCTAGGCTATCTAGGAATCTCATTATTTCTTCCTTTGCTGGTTGTATCATACAACATATATATGTATATAAGTATTGAAATTTAGGTAATATTAAATGGAACAACATTGAAATAAAGACTTCCAAACATAAATTAAATTAATCGTGTTAATTTTTACTGAATTTTGTGATTTCGCGATTTTTTCTTCTTCCTACTTTGACTCAGATCCACAACTTACAACAGGGGTAATTCCCCTTCTTTCAGTATCATTTCCGTTTAACGATTGTCTTCCGTGGTTTGTGTCTTCACACTCTTCACCCTCTTTTGAGGAGTTGGTTTTCATCAGAATTCCAATTTTAAATTTTGCGTTGTGGATTATCGACAAACTAAAATGATTCAACGTAAAAACGGAATTGAAAAGTAGTGTATAAACGTACGTTCCTTGCGATAGAAAAGTCGGTAGGTTCTCACAAATAATTGTATAATAAAACCAATTTAGCTCTACGATTTTTCGATACAATAATCTGCGCATTAAAAGCCGGTTAATTCAACTATCCACCTTGAATATTTAATCAGCCATTTTCACTCTTCAAAATTCAAAACAATTCTCCACAAAATAATTCAAATCCATTTTTTTTGTTTAAGAAAATGTATTTTGTTTTACCTGAAACCCAATTTTACCAATTTCTAGAATGTTTCCGAAGCTTTCGAAAATGTATTTTCAAATTACCACGCATGTCACGTCGAAAGCGAATAGTTTTTGTACCATGATTGAACTTTGAAAACATTATTAATGGGTGTTAATTGAGATCTTTGATTTAGCAAGTAGATTTGGTGGAAGACGTACCGTGATTTCTGGCAGGAAAAGCACAACCACAACTGAAGCTCCTGCTGAAACAGAAAGCAAACCAAAGAAATTTGGACGTCCCAGTTTTGGGGGCAGAGCTAGAGGTAAACCAACGCCAGCCCCAGCTCCAGTTGAGGAAGATGTTCACAAGGAGGAAAGCAAACCAGTCAGTCAATCTAAGGTAGCTATTTCAGATAGGCTGATGTCATTAGACACATGTTTATGGCCGACTTATTTTCAAGCCGCCTGGCCGCGCAAGGTTTGGTGCCGCAAGGCCTCGAGGAAGAACAACGGCTGCTCCAGAAGAGGCTAAAGATGAAGTTAGCACTTCTGCGCCATCCACTGCTAATCACAAACCCTCATTGCCCAGATCGAGGCCCACTTTTAACGCATTAAGAGGTAGAGGTAGAAGCACTTCAAGTGCCCCACCTACTGAAGGTAGTTGTTGAACGTACTTTTTGTGCAAAATCTAACACATTCATCAATTCCCTATAGAAACTGTCGCTGATTCAGAATCTAGCTCCTCCGAGCCCAGTTCGACCACTGCTCGTCCACCAAGACGCATTGCTGGAGGCAATGCTAATATTAAACCCTTAAGGTAAATGAGGACATTTTCACATTTATTTTCCAAAACAGCGATTGAAACCCAAGTTTGAACCTGATTAACGTTATTTTAAAAGAATACTTAACAGGAAAAACGAATCGCAAGTGATAAAGGTCTTACTTTTATGTCATATATGCAGGTTTCGGTTAAAGGTTTAAAAAATGAGCTTTGCAAAACAAAATTTAATAAAATGGTAGTTTATATTTTACGGTTATTGGCAATCTTTAAATTATCACCAACCGTTCAGCTCAGGAAGTTAGATGAAAATTTAAAAGAAATAATTTTGGAATCGGATCAAATTGCCATATACACATACTTTTGTACCAGACAGGTTTATTTAGCATTCAAATATATGTTTTTCTATTAGGCCTGGACCAAGGATTAATATTGGCGGTAGGCGGACTACACAAACTACAACTACCACTACTGAATCCAGTAGCATATCTGAAGAAGACCACGCAGTTTCTGGGGACGAAGAAGAAGCCCCCGTAGAAGCTGCAAGCGAAAAGGTAGGTCAAGATCTCACCTAGTCCCTTCAACATTCATTTTTACGCGTACATTTTATTTTACGTTTGTGTAGATTAAGGAAAATTGCAATGTTACACGAAGTGGTGTAAAACATTATAAATCATACGAAGCGAAAAAATTTATACAAATTTGAAAATATTGACAAAACTCGACAGAAAATAGCATAAGTTAGGGCGGGTTGAGGTTGGCGACAATGAGAATTAGAGACTGAGCTATAGTTGATGAAGATGTCTTTGTCTATTTTAGAAAACTTCATCTGTATAATAAAAACTCGGCCCATTGCGTTTATTCCACAAATGTTCTCGTTCATGCATAAGATTAGGAAAAATCCACTTGCTTCTTCACAAAAATCGAAAAAATTCTAAAAAAAGAAGTCCGAACGTCGTTACTTTAAAATCTTGCATGGTGGAGTAATAAAACTCAAGTTCAAAACGCCCCAGGAAGTTTTACTATTATAGTTTCCAGAGATATCTTTATGGAAGTTTTAAAATCAGAAAAAAAATAATTGATCCCGCTATTTTTCTTTGCAAGTTTTTATTCTGGATGGGTTACATTTTGAGGACCATAGGACTAAAAATGAAAACCATAAAATTTAATTCTGTTAAGGGAGTTCAGTTTTAAGAGCCGTATATGACATTTTTGTAATGCTTTTGAGTGTAGGATATGCTCCTATTAAAATTAGACCAGTAGGTATATAGATTTGACTAATTTTATTTCTTCTGGTTCAATTTTAATTGTTCAATCAATATACTCTTGGGGGAAAAATATGTAAACAGTTGTGATGTCACGTCTATTAAACAATTCTCAAAAAAGTGGCGAGTTTGATTCGTAACCGCAAATTTAAAAGTGCAAAGTGTACACAGCCTCTTGGGTTTTCAGGAAGAAGCTCCAGCATCAGTGCCTGTAGACAATACTCCTCTAGGCCGACTGCGGAACAAAAATCGCTTGAATATTCAACCAAAAGCAAAATCGGCAAGCGCAGCAAGCGCTAGCTCAACTGTTCAAGTAAGGAGAATAAATCCTTTGTTAAACAGACGAAAACCAGGACAGACGACTGAGGCCCCGGCTAGCGAAGCGCCTAGCAGCGAGGCGCCTGAGCCAGAAGGTAAATTCACATACTTGGAGTTGGACGAATTTTTCTAATTACATGAATATACTGAATATTTCCCACAGAGGAACCCGCTGCAGAAACAGAACCTTCCACTAGTTCTTCAAGTACCACAGAAGAACCGAGAGGGCTCAACAAATTATTAGCCGGAAGACGACGATTAGCTGCCAGAGTACCTGGTACAATCAACCACAAATAAGTAAAATGAAATTTTGAGTAGTAATCTGAAAATCCGCAAAAATATTATCAGCATTTAATTAGACACTTTGTATAATTAGCGCTTCTAATTATTGAAGGAAAACTTTCTGTTTTATATTTAAAATTACATTTATATTTTTTAATGATGAAACTGAAAAATGCATTAGCGTGTAAGTAATTTCAGCGCTGTGAATTGAGAAGTTACAAAACTGTAATTGGAAAAATATATTTTTTCTGCAAGTATATATCTGGTTAGAATAAGATGGGCTATACTTATTTCCTTTCGAGTCTTAATCAAAATTTATAGATGTATTTTAATGGTAGATTTAGATACAATGATTTTTAGTTATAAGAACTAGTTTACTTAAACTTTGCAGGCCTGACATAGTGCCAATATTTGAGATTAGTTGTATCCTATTTAATTTCTTCTAAAAATGTTTTGTCATATATTTGGCTGGTGAATTTTAGAAACACTTTATATAAACTTTACACCTTATATATTCTTTTATCTCTTTTCAATCGAACATTATATCCCATACGTAATGCTCAGTCTTAAACCATGTATGAATGTACCAATTCTATCAATGCAATTATTTATTATTTGGTTTTCGTTGTTACTTTTCTATTTTAAGCGACTTGTAAATAATCTTGAATAAAACTCTTAAAACAAATTATGTTCGAAAGTGTATTTTTATTTTTGTCATATCAAAACGTATCGGTCTATTCTATATATACATATCATGTAGTTGTAAGATATTCTGCCAAAACTAAAAGTACTTTCACTAATAGGTATATAATTAAATTTCCTATCACCGATGCTAAGAGTAAACAACTAGATCATAACAGTACTTGTACAAACAAATAAACGCAATTCTCTCGCTACAAGCGATTCCAACATATTCTACAAGTAATAAATTATTTATTTTATGCAATATAAAAACAAACAGCATACCACTAGAAACGGAGAAAATATCACAATTTTATTCACAACTCAGTAATAATATGGATCTAACATTCTTCTTAGTGGCTACGCACCCGAATAAGACAGTTTTAACAATGTCGTAACTTAAACTATATTGAAGAAGTGAATAGAACACATGCATTCTACACGTACAACTTTTAAGTGATGGCAAATGGGTTTTTTGTAACGTATTTACTTTCAAATTAAAACGTAAAAACAATATTGATTCGTCAATATTTAACAACTAATGTTGATCATAATAATTATCAGCCTATTTACGAAATAAAAAATAACAGCTAACAACTTAGCAGATCTTAGTTACTTATAAACAACGGCACGAAAGAAGTGACTGGCAATGGCATGGTATGGTAGTTAGAACTTATTTTAATTTCTTTCTTTATTTTAACCAATTAGCTGGACTACTTGCACTCTCAACCAAAAATCTATTTCAGTGCGTTTGACATGTATGCTCGTCGTGCAAAATAATAAATTACCATTATTTTTTCCATTATGTTACCGTTGAACCTGGATTGATTTGCGCTTCCAGCTCGGTAATCAATTGATTTATATATACAGGGTGGCATTTTTGACCATCTCAGGATTTATGAAAATACCTTCTTCAGCCACCCAAACTTTATTTCTGAGAGAGACACATTTTTGCAACGAAAATGCCCCTACGGGTCTATGCTGTCTTGAATACGCAGGGTGGTCCTCAACTAATGCGCCAAAATTCACTGTATATTCTTTAGGAAAAAAGTTGCGTTTCAGGCCAATTTGTCTTATCTGAAAGCTAATAGCTTCTGAGATCCAGGGTCTCAAAGTGTAAATAAAAATTCCGTTTATTTTTAATATACATATTCTTAAACAGTTGTTATAATGAGCATAAACAAATGTGTTTGCAAGTTTTTCAGATTAGTCTAGAGCCATTTAAAACATCAGGAATTTAAAAGCAAATGAGCCATTTAAATCATAATATTTTTTAAATATCTCTTTTTGTTAGCCATGTGGCGTTTTACGATATTTTCTAAACGAAAAATGTGTACATAGTTCAAGTTAATATATCACACTGTTGTCGAGATATTTCACTTTGAACCCTCTAGTGATGTTGATGTGTAAACTCAAATTGAATTCCTAAAATTGTCGTAAATTGAGATTTTATGTCGTAATTTCAGATCAGTTTGGTGTCAGTTAAGCCTGGGAGAAATATTTTAACCTTATTACCCACTACTTTGAATTTATTGAAAACGCCCCGACAGCGTTTTTTCGAATCAAGAAATGCGCGATATGGTTTGTGTTTAAGCGCAGGACAGTCTTAAATGCTGCAGAAGTCTTCCGCAACAACAATTAATTAAGTGTAGTTAGTTAAGACTTTAAAGTAGTTTAAAATAGTTCTTAATGTGCTTAAGTAAGCTGTTTAACATTTGTTAAATTTAGCTTTATTGACAATTTCAGCATAATATTTATTTTATTTAGAGATCCAAAATTTGAGTTTTGGAGTTCAAAAAGCACTAGAGGTTTCGGAAAACGGCATTTAAAGAAGCGATATTTTAAGTTCCAAACAATTTCTGATGTTTTAAATGGCTCCAGACTATTGCAGATAGCGCCTTCTAAGATCTACAAGCTGGGTAATAGAAAATTCGGATTTTTCGATCTAAAAACTTGCAAACACAAATTGTTATAGTCATCGCAAAACTGGTTAAGAATATATTAAAAATAAACGAAAATTTTATTTACACTTTAACACCCTGTATCTCAATAACTATTAGAATCTTGCAGATAACACAACTTTGTCTAAAACGCAATATTTTTGTCTAGACTATATGTCAGTCAATTTAATAACATTAGTTGAGGTCCATCCTGTATAAAAACTAGCCAGAGAATCAATTGTGAGCGCGTCCCAAACAAAATCCAGATAAGTTTTCCTTCGCTGTAATGCTGAGCGCAAAAGAAAGCATTTACAAATCAACATACGGCTGGAATCTTAACTTACTATACATATTCTCACTCAACATTACTCAACATATTCAGAATGTGAAGTTAAAATTTTCATTAAAATCGAGCACAAGCAACAAAATCAAAATCAAGTTATGTATTCCGTCGCTCTTTATGATGACACCAAAGAAGTCTTGAAAAATAACGCTTTCATTTAGCCAAACCTTTGACAAAATATAAATCTGTAAAGATTGCTTCCATAGCTAGCATTTAATTTAGTATAAAAAATCAAATGCGCCGGATTTGTTTATCTTTGACTGAGAAACCGGTTTTATTTACGGCAATGATTAAAACGCGTTGGAAAGTGAAACTTTGAATATTGCCGTGTGAAAGGGCACATTCTACAAAATAATCAATAGTAAAAACGTGAAATCGAACTGCAAAGTAAATAAATCAATGAGTCATACAAAGGGTGAACAAGTAAATGGTTATATCATCATGTTGGTTCTAGAATTCGGATTGCGGCAAAATTTTATTACAGTTTAGGACAGGCAATGGACGGAATCGGTCGCCAGTCCTTTGTGTCGTGTGAATCGCGTAGTTAGATGGAAAATATAGAATCATTGTGATCCTTAAGGAAAGTTTATAATTCGAAAAGCATTAATGCATGAATAGGTAAAAAATGGAGAATACGGGCGCCAGCTAGCAGAAAACTGGTAAGAATGATGTATAATCTATAAGTCCGTTCGTTTGATGTGAGTTTTGTTTGAATGAAAGTTTTATGGACTATTTACATTTTTCTTTTTTTGCTCAACTAAACACGTTTTCTTTTTTCTTTCCAGGTGGCACGATGCAGCTTTCGGTAAGTTTGGCATTATTTTTCCCCTGGTTACTATGTAGATGTAGAACTTTTAGTCTCATATTATTGACTGGTATTTTATATTGTTGCATTTAATATTTATTTGACGGGGAACGACGAGGGAGATTTTGGATTCTGCATTGGGTTTTTCTAAATTTTTTCATTTCATTTTTATAAAACTAATTTAAAGTCAGATTTTGAACATAAACTCGCTGTTCTCGCAGTCGCAGTACCTCCGTTTTCCAACGATTTCGATGGGCACTGTTATGTAACGTAAAATAGAAGTATTCTGCTGCGAACACGATTTTAATTATATATTTTATTAGTGTTTTTCTGTTGTAAATTTCAATTTTTACCGCTTTTAAGTTAATAATACCCCGGAATCCAGACTAAAGCGCCTAAAGGTATGTTAATCTTCTTTATTACTTTGTAATGATCTAGTGGATAGCGCCTTAAACGGTGGCAAGTGGTCCTGGAATAAGAATTGAAAAGAAAATTTCACATCTTAAATACATTATTTTTGCCAAAAGAATTGTGCTAGAGATTTTCCGCGGCCAGAATCCGTCCAACTAATGCAGTTTTTTTGCTGTCTTGCGACATTCTGGCTGTAAAATGGTCCAGATCAAGATTATATCCAGAATTGCGGCTGATCTTCAAAAAATTTGAGTCACTAAATTGCGTTGATTCTGGAAATTTGGATTTGAAACAAATGCAATTTGAAGCTGTTAATCAAAGAGACTATTGCCCAATTCGTGATGTAGTTTTTGGTGAATCTCTCATATTGTAGTTGTTAATTTTTTGCGAACTAACTTAATAGCCCCAGTAATCGCCCCCTATGGAAATAAAGCCGATTTCACATCAGCCCGTATTTTTCATCAATTTAGTATATAAATTATCATAATATTTCATAAATTTATTTTTCAACATCGATTTTGAGTCATACGATGATTATATGAAATATCACAAAATATTTTACAACAGTATATCAAATTTTCGAATGTGAAAGATGAAAACAAACAAAAATAGAACAAGACCTGCCACTTGTATAAAAATGATTTAGCTATTTTTATAAACGTGTAACTATATTTATTTTATATCAACGGTAACATATAAAGTTTAATAAGACAATGGAATGTTGTGGTATTTGATAAAAATAACATAATGTTGAGCCTTAACCATGCCAAATCACATTGACCTATTTATCACATTCTTACAATCGAAATAAAATATGTGAAGATTTTTAAATAGCTCTAACTTTTCTGTGAATTAAATTTGCCGAAAACATCACTTTTTCATCATATTGTCGGGCTTTTATATATAACAAAACACCTACTATCACTGTTATAGTTCCCAATCCGCTTAGAGGTGTGATGGGGTTGTCGAACATAAATATTGACATCCAGATGAGGAATGCACGCTTAGCAGTGTTCGCCACACTAACGAAAAAAAAACGTTCTGTATTAATTAACTTAGCAATGTGCTGATAAGTTTTATGTTTTCTTGGCACTTTAACTATGTTAAAATTAGAGCATTCAATACTTACCTATGCGTTACAGGACTAATGTAGTCCATAAGTACATATGCGGTAATGCTTTGAAAATGAAATAAAATTCCATTTAACACAAAACAACCCGCCAATGCAATGGTAACTTTGGTCATATCTAAATCGACCAAGAATACAGCAGCTGGGATCTGAACTACTATGCTGGCTACACTAGTATAAAACTGCAGCTCAGCTGGACTGAAATGTGCGATTTTCACAATTATACACGATAACAGTAGTTTATAAAATTAAATGAATATTTTTAATATTATTGAAACAAAATGTTACGCATTGGACATGATGTTGACTGTTGACTCTATAAAATCTTAATGTGTTAGTACTACTTAATATATATAGAATTAGATTCATTAACAGACCAGGTAAGTTTTAAGCTGCTACGTCGATAAAATGAATATTGTTATACAGGGTGAGTTAACGAAGCGACACCCCCTCTTTAGATCGTACAAAATTAGCGACTCGAAATAACCTTTTATATAAAAGTGCTGTGGTTGTCGCCAAAACATTTCTTTCTGTATACAGAGTAGCCCAAAATACAGTTATGACAGTTAAACTTATTTTTTTAATAGAATAGCCTACTTTTTAATCCAGGTTCAGGTCTACATTGAATTCGAAGTATTTTTTGTATAACAAACTGTGCATGAATTCAATAGTTTTGGACATAACGACATTTGAATATGGGAACGCAACAAAAATAAACATTATAATTTTTTTTATAAAAGTAAATTTAAAACAATAATCTTTAATAAATTTATATATTTTTTAATAATCAATGACATTTTAAAGTAATATTAAAACAAATGCTCAAAGGTATTCCCTTTTTGCCTGAGGCATAATTCCAATTTTCTAACGTTCGACTTAAAATTCAATATAGATCCTGAATTTTGATTAAAAAGTAGGCGAGTCCATTAAAAAATGTAAACTTGACAGTCATAAATTTGCAGAAACAGAAATAAATAATTTGGCGACAACCACTATACTTTTAGAAGAACTTTTTTTCCAGTCGTTATTGCTGTACGATCTAAGATGAGGGTGCTGAGGGGTTTTTTAATTGTCTATTATGAGTTCAAGTTCAATTATTCCATAGGAAAAACACATTGATTGCAAAATTAGAGCCTCCCTTTGGGTAGGCAAGGGGTTCAATCTTGATTTACTAAACGGCACCAACTATTTTTCATTGCAGATTCAAATTCTGAAATTAAAATTTATTATCATTCATTATGATTATTAAGCATTTATGATTCGCCCTATTATTGGTTGCAAGTGTCGTTAATACTTGTTTATAAAACGTTTCCCCTAAAAAGAAGGCACCAGACCAACTCTATCTTTCCAACGGTCATGGAATTTTCGATTAAGAACTTCACGTGCTACCACCGAATGAACTGAACCACTGAACAAACCTCATGGAGAAACGAAATTATTTTCTGCGTTCTTGGCTCAATTCTTCCAACAATGGCAGTTCGTTTTCCATAATATTTAGCTACATTTCACGATTCAAGATTAAGCCGTTAGTACTTGACAATTTAGTGAAGCTAATGCAGATTTTATAGACGCAAATACACATTGTGGTATTGTTGTATTCGATCAGGTGCCCATTAACAAAACGTTATTATTAGAACATTGTTTGTTAACTCGATCAAAAGAAAGTAGTGGTCGCCCTTTCCCGAAAAACTCTGATCGTAGATATTAACATCATTATCAAGACGCATGCCAGCTCGTCTATATACTTACAAAAATTATTTATATTTCCTGATGTACAACATTCTGATGTATTATTTAATTCCGAAATAAAATTAACTGGCTAAAACCAGTCGTTTCTTTAATTTATTAAAGTTAGTTGATTGTAACGATATTTATAGTAAATCGAAAAAATTCCAAGGCTTTTTTTCCGTGGGATTCTAATCTGCAATAAAAAGTGAGCGATGCCTTTTAAGAACTCAAGATTATCAAGTAGCATCAGAAGGGCACGACATTATATTGCCCGCGAGAGAAAAAATTAAATCGTTTGTTTCATAGAGAGCTTATTATTTAAAAGTTCAACAAAAAAAATTAATAGGTACTTACGTATACTTAAACTTATCTCCGGAAATCAACATTTTGGAATAGACATTTTGTATACATTCGGTAACATTCGTGGCCATTGCAGCTAGAAACCCAATCATATCAAAGCTTATTTCATTAACAGAACATAATGCCAATCCAGACATTACAGGTAAAAGGCTAAGGTTTACATACAACCCAGTTTGTTCTCCTGAAAATAAATATAATAAATAATACGGAGAATAATACTTTAAGGGATTTCATAATGTTAAAGGATTTTTATAGAGGTGGTAATCAGTTCAGAGCAAGCAAATATCAAAATTATAAAAGCTACAATGTTATGTAACAAACGGCATTTCTATACAATCCAACATTTCTGGGAAATATAGGTGCTTCAACTGGACACATTGATAACATGTTATAAGCTATAACACCTATTATTGTTGTTATTGTTATTAAGTTGAAGCACAAAATATGTCACAATTTAGAGGGAATGTAATTTATAAAGGGTCAGCATTTTGGGAACTTTTATTCCAAAATACACAGTTGGTGATATTTTATTAGCATAGACCTCAACTCACGGCTTCAAGTTTTTTAATTAATTTATGTATCGATCTGACTTTTTTTTATATCTTTCCCCTCTATCTTGATTTTTTTATATACAGGGTGTCCCACCGGGAACCGCCGCGATCCATATTTGCCAAATATATTTAGGAGAAATTTGGAAATTGAACAGTGTGCCGAAGTCATTTTTGAATTGTGTTTCTTGCTGAAAATGACTTACTTTAATCGAATTTCAACAAAATTTTGATAACTATTAATACAAAGTGTTAAAAAAATAAGTTTCGAAATGACGTTGAAAAAATCGCCCTAAACCATTTTTTTCAAATGGAAACCCCCATTTTTAATATAATTTAATCTTATTCAGTATTAAAAATAAGGGCATTATAACTAAGTCTCCTTTATTTTAAGGTCAAGCAGGTATGTTAAATAAAATACTTAATATGACAATTAATCAGTATATGTACTTACCTAACAAAAATCTTGATATTAATACGGTAAAAAGCGGGGCTGAGCTTTTGATTGTCTCAGTAAAACTCACAGCGACATAATTCAATGCTACCAAACCCAGGACTACGGTTGAAAATCGAAAACTCCCAACCAGAATCATGTGTCTGTAAAAACCTGGGGGCTTGTTCAATCGCTGAGATGGCTTGTACATGCCACATGGAAAGTATAATTGAACAAAACCACACAAAGCTGTCATTAACATTTGTGATGCTCCTGAAAAGAGTACCTTTTGAATCAGTTGAAATATTTAATCACTATGTATCAGGGTGGCCTTTCACTCACATATGTGGTTTGATCAATTATGATTTAGTCCCATCTTCTAGATATGTTTAGGTTTAGTTAAAGGCTTAGTAAAGTAAGCATGTATTTTTTTAAACTGTTTACTGTACCACAAAAGCATTTTTGGTTGCTATTGCTATTTATCATCAATATAGGCTGCTTATTCGCCAGCACTTAGCCAAAAGTACATTATTACTGATTTAATAAAACATTACGAAATATCACATACAATCTGCTGACAAAAACTTGCTGGGAGAAATACCGAGTACTTACGTGAAAAAACTTTCACAGATCGAATCTTTTGAGAGAGTAACTTTGAGGCATTCTCAGATTTTTTTTCGAAAACTGTGTGTGCCTTGAGACATTTTGTAAAAATGGTTTTCGAGTCCTTTAAATTTTCCAACACATATGCATGACTACATCGACCGACTTTTTAAATGTGTTTTATTATTTTACAAAACGGGTTTCTTAGAAAACGATTGTTCTAATCGGCAGATTAGTAATTACTTAGTGGATCGCACTATCCACTAGTGCACAAGGAGAGTGAAAACGACCAAAACTTTTGTTAAATTATGGCGGGATCTAAATGATTCTCACTCATTTATGAAGGAGTTTAATTAATTGTCGAAAAGTCAATTCGTAGAAGCAAATTGGCCTCTTGTAGACAAGTTCTTAGTGTAGTGTTTTTTACTTGTGTCATGTGAAGCTAAATTTACGTGAAAGTGCAACGGTCGGAATTCAGGAGTCGGTTATGTTTTGGCAAAACCTGCGCAGCTAAATTAAAAATGTTGTCTTAAAAATAAATTAATCTACAAAGGACAAGCGGGCCTTATTTGGCTAAATGAAAATCTCTTGAAAGACCACACACCAAGTTTCGAAGTTGTGCAATTTTAGGTAGGTAACTAAATTCTTCATACTTTTGAGTTAACAAATTTTAAACATTAAGGTCCATTTTGTGAAAATGTGCACTAGAATCGGTGTGGTGTAGTCTAAGTAGTCTAAGAGAATCATTTAGAGATATAAGTATGTTTTTAGCTCATTTATATATTCGAAATTAGATCAACTATAAAAGCTTCTTTCGAAAATCTTAAATTAAAAAAATAACTAAATCTCCTGATTCTTCTATTTCTGCAATAGCAGTAAATGAGTTTGGAGAACCCAGTAGTTTCTCTTAGCACATACAAAGGCTTATTGGTAAAGTTATCCCGCCTCTATCAAATATGCTTTGCATAAAAAATAATGATTTACATGAACCAATGGTGCCTATAATTTAATAATGCGGAATACTAGTAGTCATTTATAAGAGGTGAATAAATAGATCACGGTTTCTTTAATAAGCTTTAGCCTTAACGCGGTACCAATTGTTGGTACCAATTAGAATAATCCTTCAGGGTTTATTTTGTTAAAGCTTTATTATTTGATAAATTCTAAATATTCTAGCTGTCTATATCTATATATTCTAGAGTCTATAGTTGAAAATTAAGGGCCACCCACTGTACCTACGTTATACCTAATCTAAGTACTAAAAATTCATACCTAATACTGTTGGATTCCCATTTAAGGAAGTTAAAATGTGTTTATTCAAAAACAGTGTACAACCACTGAAAAAATACCAAAGTAGAAGGAAGGTGAATGCCCTAAGGTTGAGCAATCCCTTTTTCCTTGGAACTTCTACTACATTGATCACCTCCTTCTTGAGGTCTTTTTCTTTTTGAATGCCATTTGATTCGCTTTTCTTGTTGCTTCCAGGACTTGCTTTCTCCATATTTTTAACTCGAAGATTAATGTAATTTCTTCTGCATTCTATATTCAAGTTAATTTTTAAACAAATAGTTTGCTACTATCAAGGAAGCATTAGCAGAAGCCACTTTCAATCACTTTCACTTTTATTAATATGATAAAATCACTTCACTTCTGCCTGTCAATCTAAAAATAAAATGTTGGCTTTGTTTAATCTCGCATAGATAATCAGCAACATACATTATAAACTTTCACTTTATTCACTAGGTAGAATCTGTTATGAAAACAATAAACTGTTAACCTAAAATTCTTCTATTCAGAATATTTATTGTAGAGATGGGTAAAGGGTATCGATGGTACCAAACCATTGCCGTTTTTATTTATGGCAATGTACGATGTGTACGTGTTAAACTACCCTATTAAACTCGATTGAAATTGATTTATTTTAAACAAGGCTGCTTCAAAAAAATGTTGCAATTCTGCTTGAAAAAAATGACTTAAATGCACTTGAACTGTACATGTTACACTTTAGAGTAGAATTTGCTTAGTTTCGACATTAACCGGTTAACCTCGACTTAAACTCGGTTAAACTCGAACACAAATGGAATGTAAATGTTAGAAATTCAAATATATTGAATGATAATATGTGGGGTTCGCAATCTTAAAAAATTGCAATTTTTCGTTAAAAAGGCACCGCAATAATTTAATTGACAATATTTCAAAAACACTTTCGGAATAGACAATCTTAGAAAAATTTACTTTTATTTTTAATACATTACCAAAATTAGGGGTTTTGATGGATGGATTATGAGTGGTTTTCTCAAATTAATTTTGAAACTTATTTTCAATTGCCTCCTAGTGTATCCATAAAATTAGAATAAACTTATTTATACTAATCACCCTTGTAGGGAAACAGAAAACAACTATTTTAATTATATTCTCATCAATCAAAGAACTGATGTTTCAAAACGTGTTTGACCGTTCGCGCGCGATCGCTCGCAGTGTAAATCATAGTCGATTCGCCTTCGATAACGCCAGACTTAGATAAGAGATTATCGTCGATAAAACGACATCTGTCAGTGTAGAAGACTCTGAATCCTGGTCATAACCACAATGTTTTGTAAACAATCAACAAGTGTCTCAATGTAATTTAACTTTAATCTAAAAATGATCATGCTGCCCTATTTATCACGTCCCTAAGTGCAACTGAAAATTCGGAAGCACTAGTAAAATGTTATACGATGAAAAAACCGAAGCAGTTTATTTATATTCAGATTTTTCTATTAATGTTATTGATTGTAGTATTCTATTTTATATACATGAGCAATAATCTAACTCAAGAATCGACTTTAACCGAATCCAGCGTTCTGATCCACGCTAAGACTAAGACCAAGACCACAACTGCAACACAAAAGCAAGAATTCAACATTTGGTTAATATTCACTAAAGTTAAAAAGAAGTCTTTACTGGCAAAGAAGTTTGTAAACTTGGTGTATAATTTAATTAATGTGTCTTCGGTTCCTTTAACATTCCATATAATTATTGATGAAAAATCCAAGCTCTTGGCCGAAAATCAGCTTTCAGAAGTCGTCTATAAGACAAACAAAACCCTAATTTACAAGTTTTACAATGTGCAAGAGTGTGCCTTGAAAATTGCCGACATTGTAGATGTGATGACTCCATATTTCAGCTCTAAGCCAGGTAAATGGAATAATTTTTTGTTGTTAAGAGTGAACAGTTAAGTACGCTGACATGTTGACCAAGTGACCCAATGCTTTCTTAATATTTGATGTAATGTGAGGAGGTTGCTTTCACAGGACTTTTTGTAATTTTTTTTTCATAGAAATCTGGCATTAGCTAAATTGATAATTTTCTAGGACAACTTCGTTATCACTTTTTAAGACTAACGATTTTTTAATACTAATCAATCCTGAATTGATCCTGAATCTCGGTCTCCATCAAATCAAAATCATGTTTGATGCGCCAACATACAAATTTCGCTTAGAGTTAATCAATTAAGTACATACAGGGTGTCAATTTGAAAACTTTCCACCCTTAATATCTTTCTTGGAGTTGAAAATATGAAAAATCGGAAAGACCCATCAACTTTATTTGTAAGGGGGACACTTCAAATACATATTTTTAGCTTTCTTGTTTGAATCCCCTAGGAGGGGTAGATGTCACCCTTAGAATCTTAAATGGAAATGGGGCTCAAGTGGCACATCGTTTTAAGGGGCGTTCAATTCTCTTTTCAGTGGTATTCTACTTTATTGCTTTTTGTCCATACGTTTCCGAATAATCGCGTTTCAAAGTTGCAGAAACAGTTAAACTTGCCTGCATTGAGACTTTGGTTTTCAGGCTAGTTTTTTTCATAAAAAATATTGCTTTGGGTCTTCTTGCAGCACAAATGGTTAGAAGAGTAAGATGCACCATTAACATCGTTGAATAACAGGAAGGAAATCTAGTTAAAACGATGGATTTCTTATTTATTGAATATTTTACTTCGGCAAAAATACTTAACTCCATTTGCGGAAAATAAATATCTACAATAAAACACTATTAACAAAGATCTATACCTACTCCGTACACTATAACTCTGGTCGCACGTCATCAATCATCTGTCGAGCATTGTAGCCATACCCGCCATAAATTATATATATAAATACTCGAAGCCGTATTAAATTATCTCAAAGATGTCTCGCTTTTGCTGATTCTTCTTTATGGAATAATGGTTTCTAGTTTATCCGGGCACACTGTATAAACAAACATGCATATAAAAAAATATTTAGTTTAAACCATTTTATGGGGGTTCTGTTTCCTATGTATATATACTAAAGAAGAATGTGAGCCTAAGCAATCATGTAACACATTTATCTTATTGCTGCACATAATGAACTTCTTAATTTTTTTTTGATTTCATCATTTGCATAAAAAAAATGTTAAATTGTCAAAACATTGTCGGTACTTACTTTTTGCTCTTAATATGCATGGTTGTAAGGAGGAAATTCCTAAGTATAAGATATTTAATACAAATTGAATATATGTTTTAGGTACCTATTATAGTGATGCACTTTTTTATATTTCTTTGGGACTTTATAGAGTAGCGCCAGTCTCACAAAAGAAAGCAATATTATTAGACTGTGATCTCTACTTTGCGGAGGACGTTAAATTGTTGTTTGACGAATTTAACAGGTAAGGTAGTCATTATTTCCATGAGAATCACCGCACTCGGGTTACTGCTGACTTTAATTGTTGTTGATGTTCTTTTAATAATCTTCGATGTCGTTAATGCAAGTAGAAACTTCTTCGTATACGGGTCGTTGTCTAAGTATTGCGAAAAATTGAACCTCCTTGTTCTACACAGAATAAAATAAAACAAGTTCTGGTGTTATAAGCTAGAAAGTTTTGTTACCGTTATACAGGTTTGATTGAATTGAACATTCCAATTTTGCCACTCCTTACTTAATTTGTACGTTTACCAATGATGCACGAACTTGGCGCTAAAAGATCCAAATGTTAAGAGTGTTAATAAAGGAGAAAAATTTATATTTTTTTCTCAAGTATGGTCTATAATAAAGTCATGAAATAAGTATATAACAGTACATAAATTAATAATCATAAAACATAAACTTACTAATTGTTTTACTGGTCATATGTAAAGTAGTTTTTTTTAGTTTGGCGAGAGAAGCACTTGCTCTTGACGTTGTAATTGATTCTTAATGGGCTTAAAAAACTAATAATTGACACAGAATGGAGCTAATAACGATAAACAAAATAAATTCGATAAATTGGTTAAAAAATAATAAAGTACTCGTCAGGCTATAATTGAAGCGTCGCTGTGTACTTATTCACAAAAACTTGTGACTTAAAAAAGCCCTACGAAAAAAGTCAAAAGGCAGTAAATGACATGATCTGGGCGGCCAATGGCGGTCTCCAGAGCACGAAATAACACAACTAGGAAATTACTTTTGCAGTAATCCAAAAGTATTTCTGGCTAAATTTTCATTTTGTATTGCCAAGTTTGTTCTGCATTCTAGTATTCTTACGTATTTAGTAGCAATGGCAACAAGAGACAAGCCGTTTTTTTAATACAACACCCTAGGACAGGGGTCGGGAACCTTTTGAGTCGGAGGTGTGAATTTTTAAGTTTTTAATGAGCCACAAAATTTTGTCTTGTCCACAATAAATATTGCTCTCGTAAATTAAATTTGTTAGTAAAAAATAATCTATTGATTCATATATACTTAAGTAGTGTTTTTCAGGACAAATTAGAAAATATGTATATAAAGGGCATCATTAGATAATTATATATTATTAAGTGAAAAATTAAAAGACTTCAATATTTATTTCAACACTAACTTGTACCTCAATAACAAACAATTGAGCAAACAAATTCAATGGGAGCGTTGGCTTTGCATGGTTTTAGAAAGATTGTTTTTTGTTTTCAGTTTCAAACACGACTCTAAATTTTCATTTGTTAGATGGCTTCTTACTTTACTTTTAATTATATTCATGCAAGAGAACGCTTGCTAGGAATATATCGATCCGAAGATAGCCAGCACTCCAAATGCCAACTTCTTCACCTCACTGTAGCAATCTGGAAGACTATGCTAAGCGTCGAATATAAGTGTCTCAACTCGCGGCATTTTTTTAAAGCTGTCCACTTTTGATGCATTACGTACTCTCTTCCAACTCTTCCAACTTGCAAGTTTTCCACTCCCAAAGCTTTACCTTTTAAATCGGCCAGTTGCACTAGAAGTTCTTCTTTTGGACCGTATATGTCTTCACAACCTGACAAAAAAGGCAACTTGCCGTTTCTTTTATGTCGCAAGAGTCATCTATAGCAATCGAAAGAAAAGGCAGAAGAAGGTTGAATATCTTCCACCTGCAAATATGTTACATTTGAAGACATTTTAGCTATTCTATCTTGTACTGTTTTAAGGGATAGTGGCAAATATTTGATTTTTTTCAAGATTTCTGCTTTTATTTTGGAATCACGAAACAGTTCTTCAGACGCACATATGAAGCAATCTTTGCGTTTTTTTGCAACTTCTAGTGATGCTGCGAAGCTTGCCCGATTAGCATTGCTTGTAGATTGCGTCCAGTTAATTCTCGTTAATAGATTCAGACCGATTTTTAAATGTTTTTTTGATAAAACTATATGATATTTGCCTATGGAACTAACAGCCATAGCTTCACATACAAAGAGCCGACCCCTGCCCTAGGATTGTCGAATAACGTGAAAGATGGACTTTCGCCAATTCTGTCCTATTAAAATTAAAAAATTCATTTCTGATATGATGTGTTTGCTTTTAAGGTTTAAGTCGACAGCCTTGTTTGGCTTAGCTCCCGAATTATCACCCGTATATTTCCACATTTTGCATATGTACAAGAAAAAGCACAAAACCACCTTTGGGGACTTTTACCAGCAGCACAACACATCCTTGGATAATGTTCATCCAAGGGGCTTCCAAGGATACAACAGTGGTGTAGTTCTTATTAATTTTGAGAAGCTTCGAACTTCTAAAATGTTTTCCAAAATCATTTCGAAGTCTAGCGTCTTTAATATGACAGAAAAGTATAAATTTAAAGGGCACTTGGGAGATCAAGATTTTTATACTTTACTTGGCTTTGAACATTCCGAGCTTATTCAAACCATAAATTGTGGTTTTAATAGGCAGTTATGCACTTGGTGGCAAAACCATGGCTATCAAGATATTTTTGGTTTTTACTTTAAATGTGAACACCCTATAGTAGTTCTACATGGAAACTGCAATACGAAAATTCCCACGTAAAACATTGCATTAGGTAAAATATGCTATAGTTCATCCAAATCCAAGACGGAGGAAACCTATAGAATGTAGTTTAGATATATTAACGTTCAGTAGATCACCACGAACTCTGATCGCTTCTTCGGAAAAGGGCTTGACCGCTTCTTCGGAAAAGGGCTCGATATAATTTATTGCTGATGGAGAAGTTGTCAATGCATTTTTTCTGCATTGTGCATTCGTTTGAGTTGCTCCGGCTTGGAATTGTATCGACTAGAGATAATTTTAGGTACAATTGATAAATGCTCAGTAGGCTCGAATCTGGTTTATTGACTGATATACTCGAAATTTTTACGCGTCCTTGCCAATTTTGCCATTCTCAGAATATGTGTATAAGGTGCAATATTTGGTGTTATGTTTTTTATAAATTTGTAGATACATATATTATCATTCCACTTGACATTATGTAGTGAGTTTTATTGTTCTCTTGTTTGACGAAAACTACTTAAGATAACGTGTACGACAAAGTGTTAAATAAATTTATATTCTTTATATGAATTAACTGCATTATTTATTCAAATATATTATAAAATTAATAAATACACCCCAATTCGTTAAAAGTAGGCACTAAGTTGACTCTAAATAATTTACGATTTAAAAAGACACACTAATAATATATCGAATAGAATATAACCTTTATAAGTTATTTAGAAGAGCCAAAGTGAAACGATTACAGCTTATAAGCTTGCCTCATCATTAAATTGAAGTAGCCATCGTTATCGATTGATGCGCTAATGGCAGCATAATAGTTGAAAAATTCTTCTTTGGTAACCTAAAATTAAAATATATTAAAAATATAATTACTTTTTAATTTTTACATTATCTGCATTTAACTATCTAAATATTCTTGTACCTAAAATACCATTAAGACGTTAAAATATGTGAAATCTATATCGTCGAAAATATAATCTACAAATACGCCCTAGTGAACTGGGGACTTTGGCAATTTTTTTGTGGTTTGATTGCTTCTTTCGTTAACAAAACTGTTAGGTGCACATTTTTACTTATTGTTTTGAACTTTATCTTGATTACATTCTCTGTAATTATACGGTTCCAGCTGTATTTTGGCAATGATAATAAATCATTAATAAGTGTAATTGCAAACGTAATTTTTATTATATTTGCATATAATTTATTTTAGTTGCATTTATTTATCAAGCCTTCCAAAAAACATTTCACTTTTTTCGCATACATTCTTGCAGCGTCAATTTCAATATACATAAATCAATCAAACCAATAAAATTGATCACCGGTTCTCCTTACTCTTCTCCAAGCTACTGACGCATTTGCAGATTATATTGATTTCTAATTATGGTGATGTCTTTCCGAAAACTAACCTTCCCGTCTCGTGTAGCATCCTGCTCAAAATTCCCTAGAAATTTCTTCAGAATACTTTCCTCACTTTGTTCACCAGAAATATAAGTTGGATGAGATTTTACATTATAAACGTTTTTCAAGTCTTCAGTGGTTATTTCGCCATCTCCTGTTTTATCCATCTTATTAAATGCTTCTTCGATTACTTTCTTCCTTCCCTCATTCAACGGAGGCTATAAATAAATTATATTAGCGCTGACTAATAAAACTGAACTATTTGTTATTTACTAAACCATTTTCTTATAAATTTTTATAATTTTTAAATCTAATTTCCAACTGTTTAGTAAGCAGTAATGAATTAAGCTCCGTCAAAACTAATTTAGTCATATTTTTCTTACCCTAATATGAACCAGAAATTCATCCATGTTCACGCTGCCACTTGAGTCGGTATCAAATTTGGTAAATATTTCATTAATTTCGTCATCGGTTATTTCTAACCCAATTTCTCTGAGACCTAAAGCGAATTCTTCTAAATTCAGATTTTTGTTTCCATCTTCGTCCATTCTGCGGAACAGTCTCCCTGTAAAATTATTTTGAACATCGTTTAGTCGTATATTTGAAGAACATGATGTACAATTTGAATCTGGCTGGTTGTGATCATTAAATTCAAATGCTTTGCAAATATCATCAATATAAGCGGAATACCCTATTAGCAAAATTGCGTTTTGTTGTGCATCGAATTTAGTCAAATTTGTAATGGGAAAACACATTTAAGATTCCGAACTTTCTTCGCAATGAGTAACTACTATACAGTGTGTCTAGTATAAAATTATGTACATGGGGATATTGGAAACGGTTAGAGTTACAGGGTGGACCAAATGGGGAAAAAGTTGCGCAATCAAGTGCCTATAAATAATCTGTCATCAACTTTTTTGAACTCGAAAACGGATATACAAGGAAAAAACAAAAAAAGTGCGTTTTATAAAATCCTTTATATCTTGTTTATTATAAAAGATACCATAACGAAATTTTCANGTAAGAAATGAGAATCTTGGCCCACTATGTTCAATGAGGCCCAAGTCAACTTTTGTTTTTCTTATGGGCGCCATATTGAATTTCTGCATTTTTAAATTTCCCTTTTAATATGCTCTTCAACCATGTATAACATGTTTATGTTCGGTCAAGATAAATAATTAAAATTCACAAAATTATGATTTAATTGTAGTAGGCATCGATATTTCCATTAATTATTACTTTAAATTATTATTGACATACATCGAACACTGCAAAAGAACAAGTAACATTTTAGGATTAAAGGAGGTGTTCAAAGAAGCCACCGTTTTAGCTAAAAACTAGCACGCACAACATACATCGTCTCATTACTGCTTCACAGGAGTTTCTGATAATTTCTGGGGTAATTTAACAGCTTGTATAACACCGTGTTTCAGCTCCTCTTCGGTTTCGTATGACCTATAGTATACCACATTTTTGAGGAAACCCCATGCAAAAAAATCAAGCGGTGTTATGTCAGGGGATCTCGCAGGCCATCTTACTGGTCCCAGGTTGTCTATCCACTAGCTGGGAAATTCGTGATTTAAAAATTTTGTGATAATACATTCATTTCGACGACAGAGAATAAAACACTCCAACATATCATATTTTGCATAATTTCAAAAGTGATTCATTTTGCAACACACAATTAATTACAAACACTTGACACTGACAATAAATTCTACTTTGACAGTTACCTAGGTAATTAAAACAGACAACGAACGTCTCTATGGGGAAATTCAAGAGAAATATCCATGCCTACTGCCATAAAATCTTAATTTTGTTAATTTTAATTATTTATCTTGACCGAACTTAAACATGTTATACATGGTTGAAGAGCATATTTAAAGGGGAATTTAAAAATGTAGAAATTCAATATGGCGCCCATAGAAAAACGAAAGTTGATTTCGTCCTTATTGAACATAGTGGGCCTAGATTATTTTTTACTTTCTTTTCAAATTCACGCTCATTTCTTACCCCCCCCCTCTGAAAATTTCGTTATTGTATCTTTTATAATAAACAAGATATAAAGGATTTTATAAAACGCACTTTTTTTTTTCCCTATATATCCGTTGTTATTCCGAGTTCAAAGAAGAAGTTGATGACAGATTATTTGTAGGCACTTGATTGCGCAACTTTTTCCCCATTTGGTCCACCCTGTAACTCTAACCGTTTCCAATATCCTCATGTACATCATTTTATATTGAACACACTGTTTAATACCTAACTTCAAAATACTTATTACATATTTACAGCAATTAAAATGCACTGATTGGTTTATTAATTAACAAACTCGTTTATTAATAAACTTTCTTAAGTGAGTTTTGTTATTCTTACCCAAGCCTAAGATGCCAGAAGCTCCTCTAGACAAACATAAGAGACGAAGTCTTTGCACAGGGTCACTAGAACCACCTGTTGATTGTAGCTCCCTCAAACTTCTAGCAGCCATTTCACTTTCTTGTCTGGACGTGGCACTTTGAGGTCTGAGTGGCATGCTACGAACATTTCAAGCAGTTTCTTGTAAAATTTCCGAATAACGTTATTACAATTTTTTTTTTATCAAACAGCCAACACAATGTCTTTATTATTTATTATTATACAAGATATTTTACATACATAACTTATAAAGTTGTTGCTGGTACTTCTCGAAGACTTAAAGAGGGCTCAATTGGCAAATCCCCTTGATGTATGAAAACGAAATAATTTAGAAACTCTTACTTTCAAACGAAAATTAGCCCATCACGTTAAATCAAGTAATACTGGCAGCATGAGAGTTATAACTGCTAATATACGATAGTTATAGCTCCATTCGGTTAGCACGAAATATTATCAATTTGAGAAGCAGTAAAAAATTCTACTAATAATAGAATAGTAAACAGTGGAAATATTTTTGAGTCAGCCAATGCAACAATGACTCAAATATTACTATCAAAGCCGTACCTAATAATTTAAGTAACCATATCATATGATTTACAACATTTATTAATAGGATTGATATGTAGTTGTTTTGTTCCATTTTCCCTGTTCATCTGCTGAACAAATGAACTAAATTAATTTCAGTATTTGTTAATTTATGAGAAAGTCAACGCCGATTTACTTATATGCTTATTGCCAGAAACTGTAGTAGCATTCTGGTTTTCCGGCATTTAGAACTTTGCATGTATAAGATGTGACTACTAATTTAAAGTGAAAAATTCGATAGTTTAAAAAACATGACACAAATCGAAATCCACCCAACACGAGCCTGAACAGCTTACATTGCTAAAATCATACAGTGATTAGAGCTAAATTTATTAGCGTTCCACTTTCTAGGAACCAGATAGATTTAAAAAATACTTATTAAAGTATTACAGGTTCAGCAAAGAAACGACGAGGTGCGTTCTATCATTAAACGCTACAAAACCCGTGTTTAATTGGAAGAATCGCATTACAAATAATATTCTCAGTTTGCTTAATATGAATTGGGAAGAAGTTCTAACTCATATTACGACGATAGTCAAAGAATTTTCGAACGAAGTTTTGCGCAGGTTGTGTTGCAATTTTTTGTTGGTTTCCACAACTAACTTGGAAAAAGTTGGGTTTGCGAAGTTGCAAAATTTTGAAGAATTTTCTAAAGATGTCGGGGGTGGTAAAATTTGGTTAAAATGGTCTTTTATGGCCGAGTGTCATCATTAGCCAAAGTTGAATCTAATTTACTCTGCGGTAAAATTCTTCAGGCTAAGACTTATCAAATGGCAACATGAGACTGCTGTCATAAACAGTGTTAAAGCCCGTGTCCCATGCATCCGTTTATATTGCTTTTATATTGTACGATGATACGAAAGTGTTTCTATTGGTTGGAGATCTGTCAGTTCGTACGATGGCGGACGATTTGACAGATCTCCAACCAATAGAAACACTTTCGTACCATCGTATCATTGTACAAACGGATGCATGGGGCACGGGCTTTAGTCCATGTCCCATGTCCCATCTACCCTAAGACGGGTAGATGTCACCCTTAGAATCTTAAATGGAAGGGGGGGTCAAGTGGCACATAGTTACTACTTTACTGTTTTTTGTTGATAGATTTTAGAATAATCGTGTTTCAAAGTTGTAGAAACAGTTATACTAGCGTGAATTCAGATATTGGCTTTCAGGTTAGTGTTTACACGAAAACAATTGTATTGGGTCTGCTTGTAACACAGATGATTAGAAGAGTAGAGTACACTGTTAAAAACGTTGATTAACTGGCAGAAAATCTAGTTTAAACATTGATTTATTATTTTTGATTTTGATCTTATTTCTTATTTATTGATTATTTTACGTCGACAAAACTAACTTTCTATTTGCGGAAGAGAAATATCTACAATAAAACCTATGTCATCTACTTACGCAGAATTTTATAAGTTTTTCAAATGTTGTTAATTTTTCTGTAAACAATAATAAGGCCTGTTTTTAAACTCTTGCCTAACTTCACCGGGAATTGACCGGCATTGTGCTGCAATTCGCCTTTTAAGATCATCAATATCAGCAGGTTATGTTTTATAAACAATGTCCCAAAAGGACTTAAGATGTTCCCAAAGGAGAAGTCTAAGGGTGTTCAATCCGGTGATCTTGGCGGCCATTCAATTGGTCCCCTTCTGCCAATCGATCTATCCGGGAATATCTTATCAATGTTAAGGAGGGTTCGAAGATAGAATCGAAAATATTATTGTTTACAAGAAAATAGACGACATTTTGAACAACTTATAAGATAGTGCGTAAGTAAATCTCATGGGTTTTATTGTAGAAACTTATTTTCCGAAAATAAAAAGTGATTTTTCTCGAAGTAAACTAATCAATAAATCCTCTCAACTCACTCACTAGATTTTCTTCCTGTTATTCAACGATTTTAACGGTATAACCGAATCTTCTAATCATTTTGTACTATAAGGAGATCCAATGACATAATTTTTGTTTGAACACTAATCTGAAAACCAAAATCTCAATGCAAGCAAGTTTAATTGGTTCTGTAATTTTGAAACGCGATTATTCGAAAACCTCTGGACAAAAAGCAACAAAGTAATAACTAATGTAAATAAAATTGAACGCCTTTTAAAACGATGTGGCACTTGATTTAAGATTGTAAGGGTGACATTTACCCGTCTTAGGGGGTTGAAACAATGAGGCTAAAAATATTTCTCTAGAGTGCCCTCTTACAAATAAAATTTCCAGTCTTTCCGGTTTTTCATATTTTAAATTGCAAGAAAGATATTAAGGGTGAGAAGTTTTCAAATTGGCGCCCGGTATATATATCTTACAACTGTGTAGTATTTAAGTTTACATTTTTCCACATAGTTTTTTAATGCAAACACTATACAATTAAAATATCAATCGCGCACACTTTATAGCACAGTATACTTGAATTTATTTTTTTTTATTTTGTTATTGATTGTTAAATTGTAGTATTTGTGCTGCTTCGACATTTTATTTTAAAGGACAAGGTTTGGATATGTGAAATTCTGAACAAATTTCTGCAGCATTGATTGAAAAGTGTTGATGGTTTCAAACATTAACATGTTGAGAATAATTTTCACTTGTTGAATTGATCAGAGCATTATTACTTAGTGTCCATTATAAATAGGTATTCATCATGTTCGTTTACTTAGTGAGCCTTTTTATTTCAATTAAACCGTACTGAGAAACACTGGTTAATTAAATGTATTAATTTACACATGATTATATTAAATCACGTACCTGGTTTTATTTCTGTAGAAACTGTACCGCAGGAATGATTTAACTTTTTAAAATGATATGCTCTGTATCAAGCGATGGCACGATTTTATATCTACGTGTAATGGGATCGTTTTCCAACGTATCGACCGGAAAACCTAGTCTAATACCGCACCAAATAATTAAACGCAAACTTCATTAAAAAAGTGGCGGTTGATTAACTTCCGCGGGCCGCTGACACCTTCCTCAGTGCAAAGAATATTGATGTTTTTGAGTTAAAACGTTTCGTTGTATAAAATACTAATTGGAGTGAATTCGATGAATGACTTCAAATTTATGGTGAAAAATTGATGACTAACTATATTGAATGTTTTATGTTGTTCAGTTCGGTTGCTAAGACAGCGACTGAAAATGGAGTATAAACAAATACCGGCATGTAACATTAAAAAGTAATGTATAAAGTTGGAAATAACGATCAATAATGCTTTTATTTCGATCAGATTAACATTAAGGTCGCAATACCTGTAATATAAATATATCATTATTATCAAATAATATTAAGTCTGCTTGAAATAGAGGATTTGTTAATTACATTTTGTAAAACAAGAGTTTTTATCGATAATTTGTCAGCTGGTCAATCGAGATCATCTGAAAATGTTGTACAATAATCAGTAACCAAGTCAAAAATAAAAAATATATAGTTGTGAATGGATCATATTAACAAAAGCGTAGCATTTGCTGCACAACATATTTTGTGTGCTTAATGGTAAATTTTGATCAGTCTTGTAAATTTCTAACATTCTTTATTACGTTGCTGATACTTCTGAGCTAATCAAACGGGCAATTCGTACTATTGAGAGTGATTCAAAATCGGTATTCTTTACTTTAATACGTTTTTTCCGCGACCTATATTTTGACTGTACTTGATTGCTTATGGACACAATGTTTAGAGCTTTTGTTAGTTTTGGTTATAATTGGTTAATCATCTATTTTTTTGATAATCTTAGGCATCTATCACTACCAAAACTGGAAATTTGCAAACCTTTTTACAGTTAAAACTAAGAAAACAAATCAGAGTGTACTTCTCTATGACAAATTTCTGGAATTGATCACTCCAGTGTATTTATTAGCTCTCGAAAATGAAATTTTATGCTTATACTCAATTCTTTAAAGAAGTTGAATGGAAACCATGTATGAGTATAACTAAACATTACAAATAGCACGTAACTGTTTTTAAAGTTTTGCTAAATGTCGGTTAGCAATAATTACTATGCTGTTATTTTTGCAACGAAAATCTCAACGTTAATTACGCATTCACACAGATATTTGGTGACGGTCAAAAATAGGTGGCAGGGATAAAACTAGTTACAAAGTAGTACTGGTCGATATACAGCGTTATTATTGGATTGTTTTTAAAAATTCCTTTTAATGGTTTACGGAGGCTTACTTGGAGAGTAAGAAAAAAGTATTGGAAAAATAATTTTCGATAATTTTTGAAGATATTGTGTAACAGTTGAAAATCGAATTTCAGCTTTGCTATTAATTATTATTTTGAAATGGTCCCAACTTTGATTGGTAGTCTATTGGAGTACTTAAGTATTCAAACAAAATTATAATATTTACTTCAAATTATAAAAATTTTTCTCCTACTATTTTTTAGGTAGGTAGATAGTTTTTTTTCAAATGGTCAACTTCGAAACGTTATTCATGCCGTGTTTTCACGGGCCACTTCCTGGAGTTGCTGCGTGAGCCATGCGGGTGTTAACTAATACTCTCCAGTGTTACATTATTAAATAGTTTAAGAATCATTCGTATTTATTCTTGTTTCTTAAAAGATGCATATGACAGAGCCCTTTTGTGGAATACTCCACTTATTTTCTACCGAGGTTTCGTCTTTTCAATCCTCTTATGGCATCGCTCTTGAAATCCCACATTGCAAATCACTAAATTTCTGCAATAAAGGTGTCCGTGTCAAACGGTTCCGTTTAGGAAACTGAAGTGATTCCTTTGCATGTTGATTGTGGAGAAACAGAAGACTTTTGTGAGCGTGTGGTCAATCAGGCGGATTGCAAATCTACATAGCATAACATGAATACTACACCAGAGCCGTTCCGAATAGAAGAAAAGGAGCTTTAGCGAAAATATTGCCGAAAATACCCCAAATACCAAAGGACATTAGTATTAAAACATTTCGGAAAAATTACAGGAACTGGTGTGTATAGAAAAACTCGATAAAATGAATTTGCAAAAGTGACTAATTTCTTGTTGAAATAGATCGTCGCCGAGCCCTTTCGACAGTTACGTCATCATCAGAGCCGTCATACCCACGCGAGCATCAAGAACTCACGGACCATAAAATAGGACAGGATCAAACAGATTAAAATATTGAGCACATAAATTAAAATTTCAGAGGTCACATAAATCAAATAGTTCACTTCAGAGATAGTTTTAATTTACGTGACCAATATTTTAATCTGTTTATTCCCGTCCCTTTTATGGTCTGTGAGTTTTTGATGGTCGCGTATGCATTACTTGTGCCCTGATGATGACGAAGCTGTCGAACGCACGCCTAGTGCAACTCTAACTGATCTTGTTAGACCAAAAAATCTAACAATCTATTTAAACAAACATTGCAGCGCTTTAAAACTGAATAAGTTGCTTTTCTAACTGACCGACCATCAATATTTTCAAATGTCCTAACAACATCTTCTATAAGTTCTTTTAAATTGCCATTCTTATTTGTATAAACTGTGTTCTTTACGTTTGCCCACCAAAAAAAAAAACAAATCTAAAACTAAAAATCCGGTGATCGAAAATAGGACCGTTTCTTCTAAGCGAAGCGTCCGAAAATTCTTCTTCCGAATGATTCCGCACTTGGACAAAATTATGCTGAGGGGCTCCATCATGTTGAAACCACATAATATCTAGATCATTCCGAAGGAATTGAATATACCGACTTCCATTTAAGCTGTTCCACTAACCCAAACGTTAAATTCAAATTTAATTTGTGGCCTCCTTTGTTCAAAGGGGGGGTTGTGTGATTAAACATACCACAATTTGTAAATCGAGTTTGATCTGTCCATAATAAATTCGGACGCAGCCCTATCATCCCCTGAATGTCAAAAAATTTAAAGATGTGGTTACTACGTATTTGTTACTATGGAAACACTCCTGTCTGCCTTATATTTTTTTCCACGGCTAACTTCGATCAACTAAATTGAAAAAGTAAAAATCATTCACAGGCACTTCATGTTCGAAAAAACATAACGATATAACATCACTGAAATCGTAATAAAGTGCACTTTTCAATAAAGTTATACATAATCAAATATGGTTTTAAAAAATTCAAGTTGTGTCATGTGTCAAAAATGACAGTTAATTTGTAAAAATGTCTCATGCCATTTTCTTTCCAATGCAATTTTCTACAACTTTTCTATTTAATGTTTTCCTGTCAGATTAATATTAACGAAGAGGAGGAACTAGAAGTCATTTAAAACACTGCCATAAATCAGTTTTTTTCTCCTCACAGCTGTCACACACAATGTCTCCTCACAGATGTCAAATTTTATAAAAATAAAATTTGTTTCGAGTAGCGTCCATTTAACCTTCGTTATATCTGCTCTAGTTTCTAAGATCTCAGTACCAGTCGTCGAAAAAAACTCACCCTGTATATTTCCTTAGCGAAACTTTTCTTGGCTATAGTTAATAAAGTTATAAACCCAAACTCATACTCTTCATCGATTCTTTATCGTTCCTTGAAGTTTTCGCTCTGGAAACTGGGCCACCTTGTATATTTATAAAAGCAAATGTACCACTCCCAGAACAAACTTTAAAACAGTGAATTCTTCTCAACTGAGAAATTTACAGTTTGATCATCAAAATGGGGCCTTCTTTTCCTCTGCCTGTTATTGTCATCTGCTAGTTTTATTGTTTTAGGCATGTATCAGCAAGTATTTGTTCATATACATGGCAAAATTATCACTTATTACACTACGTTGGCATGTATTTGTGGTTATTTGTTAAACTGTGTTTTAGATAACTTAAATTATATAACAATGACTAACATGCATCTCTTACCTTCTTTGGGGCGATGCTAAATCGGTAAAATCCTTCTTTCGCCGATTCAAGTGACGCACGGAGCTCACGGTGTGTTGCTTATTGCAAGCAAATTGATACTTCTGACAAAGTAAACGTGGTTGAAATAAGAGAAAGTAACCGCAACTGAACAGCTTATTACTAAAATCACACTAAACGCCGTTCTTTTGTTATTATATTAACGCGTTTGAAGAATTATTTATTTATGGAAAACGAAGTAATTGATTTTCTGCCTTTGTTACTTTATGAAATAAGCGCTAATTTGCTTATAATATTATTGTCAGCAGTTCCGGAAGGGTTCTACATTAGTTTCCCGACAAAAATGTTGATGTTTCAAATCTGAATATTTAGTTAAAATAATGAACCAGGCAGGAAAATTCATTCATTTTATTTTGTCATTTTTTATTTTATTCAAAATTTATTTTCTAAAAAGTGCGTTTTTCTAATTACACTTGTCTTGTTTAGAGATTTTGGAGAAGGACTTTGATTAGTCTGCGAATGTGAAAGTTGTTCAAGAAAGTGGCCGCAACTGAACAGTTGATTGCTGAATTCATACTGGAGGCATTGCTCGTAAAGAACATTTAGGTCTGTATTGAGTCTGATAGATAGAAGTACTTCAGATTTTTCTTGAGTTTAAACGTTTTACCAAACCTCATGTCAAGAAATAATTGAAGAATGTCCGATCAATTATTTAATTTTTAAAACGTTTTTGCAAACAGTGAAAACTGATGTTGCTAAGTGAGGTTTTAAGAAATCGTGCACTTCTACTCATACGATGAGAGAACGCATTGAATTGAAGGTATTTCCATCATTGCTTTGGATACTCAGTTTAAAGATATATCTTGAGTCATTAAATTCTTCTCAACTAATTAAAATTACGCTTTTATAGTTTCGTAAGTCAATGATCCCTATATAGATATATTAGTGTTTCGGTTTCATCTGCTACGTTTGTTGATTTACGCATAGATGTATGTTGATTATTAGCTTTTTACGTAACGTTAAGAGTAAACCGTCATATAAAGGTGCAAATTAAATATAATTTTGCCATATTTATTATTTAGTTTTTGTGGAAATTTTACAGTTTAGGTAGTCGTACTTTACGAGAATTTTTTTTTAATTCCCACACAACACAAAAAAAAATGTTTGCGCCTACCGATGTAATGTCACTGCATTGTACGATTTAGCTACAAAAATGAATTTGACTGACTGTAAAGATTTTAAACATTCATTTTTTTCTTTGGCATAATGTCTAGTCTCCAATAAAATTGATATGACTGAATTTCTCTATAGATTTTAAATGTTC